CACTGAAATGACCAGAGGTGTGGATGAGGTCACCATTGTCAACATTTTGACCAACCACAGCAATGAACAGAGACAGGATATTGCCTTCGCCTACCAAAGAAGGATCTAAAAAGAACTTGTATCAGCACTGAAGTCAGCCTTGTCCAGCCACCTAAAAACTGTGATTTGGGGCCTAATCACAGGGGACCTGCTCTGTATGATGCTTCTGAGCTGAAAGCCTCCATGAAGGGGCTGAGGACTGATGAAGACTCCCTCACTGAGATCATCTGCTCAAGGAGCAACCAAGAGCATCAGGAAATTAACAGAGTCTACAAGGAAATGTACAAGATTGATCTGGAGAAGGACATCATTTCTGACACATCTGGTGACTTCCACAAGCTGATGGTTGCCCTTGCAAATGGTAGAAGAGCAGAGGATGGCTCTGTTATTGATTATGAACTGATTGACGAAGATGCCTGGGATGTCTATGATGCTGGAGTGAAGAGGAAAGGAACTGATGTGCCCAAGTGGATCAGCATCATGACCAAGCAGAGTGTGTGTCACCTCCAGAAAGTATTTGAAAGGTACAAGAGCTATAGCCCTTATGACATACTGGACAGCATCAAGAAGGAGGTCAAAAGAGACCTAGAAAATGCTTTCCTGAACTGGGTCCAGAGCAGTCAGAACAAGCCGCTGTATTTTGCTGACCAACTGTATGACTCCATGAAAGGCAAGGGGAATTGCAATAAAGTTCTGATTAGAATCATGATCTATCAGGGCGCCTGGGTGGCTCAGTTGTTAAGCATCTGCCTTCGGCTCAAGTCATGATCCCAGGGTCCTGGGATTGAGCCCCACGTCGGGCTCCCTGCTCAGCAGGAAGCCTGCTTCTCCCTCTCCCACTGCCCCCTGCTTGTGCTCCCTCTCTCACTGTGTCTCTCTCTGTCAAATAAATAAATAAAATCTTGAAAAAAAAAAGGATCATGATCTATCATGATCTCTCGCAGTGAAGAGGACATGTTGAAAATTAGGTCTGAATTCAAGAGAAAGTACAGCAAGTCCCTGTACTACTGTATCCAGCAAGACATGAGGGTGACTTCCAGAAAGCACTGCTGTACCTGTGTGGTGGGGATGACTGAGGCCCACGACAGCATGAGCATCCAGGAGTGGTGCTCCTTTGTTTCCAGCTAACAGTTCTAGAAAACAGCCCTGCAAGGATGAGATTGGCATCGCCCCTTCCCATCCTTATTTCAGTTGCCTAAGCATTGCCTGCCTCTCATGTCTCATCTCCTTTTAGCCAAAGAAACATACCAAAGAGTTGGAAGTGAAATCTATGATATGAAATACTTCGCCTCTTGTGTACTGTGTCATAAACAGGTGAATAAACTGAATTTTTATTCTAAAAAAAAAAAGTATAGGATACATTCAATTATGCCTGTTTCTCTCTTCCTATCAGGAATATAAATTTTAAAAAAGTTATCAGTTTATTATCAGACTAGATTATTTCTGCCATTATCCTTTAGGACAGCGGTTCTCAAAGTGTGCTCCTTTGTAGCAGTACCAACCTCACCCATGAGCTTGTTAGAAACACAAATTCATGGGTCCCACCAACCTACTATATCAGAATCTCCTAAGGAAGGGGCCTGGGAAACTCCCCAAATGAGTCCTATGCATATTAGAGTTTGAGAACCACTATTTTATTCAAGAGCTGTCAATGTACTTTTAACCAAAGGTGATTTCCATCAAGTACCCAAACAATGCGAGTCCCTCATACTACTGTAAACACTAACCTTTATGACTATCTTATATCTGTAATTCATCACCTTCTTCCCTTGGCCAAAGGTCATTCAACACACTTCCATTCTTGTATCTATCCCATTTCTCTCTCTTTATTCTCCTCTGGATGGTGTGCAGCATCCTTCCACTTACAGTCTCAGATCTCAACGTAGGTATATAATTTCTTGCCCTATCACACTATTATCTCTCTCCTTTTTACAAATCCGACTCTCATAAAAAAGACATCCTTCCATTGTTACATTCAAGTGGTGAGCCCAAATCCAGAAAGTCATCATGACAGTCATGATATACTTATTACTAACCCTTATAATCTCAACTTTATCATTCAAATTTTGTATACTGTTATAAAGACTTTGGAGGCTCTAAGTATTACACCTAGCTAGATTCCACATTGTGGTCTTTTGAGAGTCTCTGGATACTCCTCCCATTTATTCTGCTTACCATGTCTTACTTGATGTCTAACGGTTTTATCAGATAATCTGCTTGTTTTTCTCCTCTCTAGCATATTCAATCTAAAACTGCCCTAAGCAGATCAGACAGTTCCTAGGAAAACACACACAGATGTATTCCACCTCTCCCTCCATATTCTCCCAAACTCAGTGGAAGATGTTGATTATATAATCTGCAAGCTTTTCTTCCTAAGCTTTTAAATTAGTGCTTTTATAATGATGATAAATAAAAACTATAGCTTAGCCAGAAAGGGATTGATAGGGCTGAATATGAAGGAATTAATATAAATTTAATAGTTTGATTTAAAAAAAAAAACCTTTACTTGAGGTCATCCTTTTCCTTGGTTCTTCTGTAAGCAGATACATAATACCACCATACTGATAAAAAATTATTTGCTTTTAAATCAATATACCTGTGATCATAATTTTCTAGAAATAGAAAACACTGAATCATTCAAATTCACTCAACTGTATATTCCACTCTGAGTTATGAGATAACTAGCATGAATCAACTCCAACGTATTAATTTATTCTACACACAAGTTCTAAGTTTTATAAGATGTAAGTTGAAAAACTACAATGTAAAAGAAACATGTCACTACAGAAATCACAGAATTTTATTCAAAATGCAAGAGTACTCTGAAAATGTGTAATTTGTTTAAATTGGGATATGTAACAAATAAGTTAACTAGTTTGAAAAGCAATTCATATCCACTCTGGTCTACATAACATATCTCAACTCCAAGGAAAGACAGCAACAAAGTAACAAAACAGGGGCGCCTGGGTGGCTCAGACGGTTAAGCATCTGCCTTCAGCTCAGGTCATGGACCCGTGGTCCTGGGATCAAGCCCCACACTCAGCAAGGAGCCTGCTTCTCCCTCTGCCCCTGCCTGCTGCTCCCCCTGCTTGTACTCTCTCTCTCTCCGTCAAATAAAAAATAAAAAATCTTAAAAAAAAAGGTAATAAAACATAATAATGGAAAAAAATTGCAAAGTGAACCATAAACACAATTTGGTAAAGAAATCTAGGTTCTGAAAATTGTATACGGTGTGTAACACTGTGTACTTTTTGAATAATTATTATTCTTAAGAAATGAATGAGTAAAAATATATTACTCAATACAAAGGAAAACAATGAGTCACTTAACACACTATACTGTAGAAATGTATTAATTCGCCAATAACTGGAATAGTCACATATTTCTGTAAAGTAGTTTAGGGGTTAAAATCAGTTATAAGAAGTAGAATTTATAATTCTATTTTTTTTAAATAACATTTTCTATTTCTAATATGGAATATAAACACTTCATAACTATTCAATAAACATTAAATGGATATGTTAAAATCATCACTTAAGTGATAAAAATGGAAAATACAAATTTTAATGTCAAAATATAAACTCTGAGAGGAAGAGTTTGGTGGTAAGATATATAACCACACTTAGAAAATATGCTTCTTATTTCTTCTAAACACTGCAACTTTTTGAGCCACTTAGCTTTCAGAAGTCTGGTTTTTGCTACCAAAATTGGATCCTGAAAATGACCTATCAATGAGAAATGCTTTGATGATTGACTAGAAAATGACTTTATGTGTTTATCAACCTCCATACATCATCATCATCCCCTTTCTTCTATCTGTTCCATCATCTTACCATTGACAGAGATATTAAAACCATTCTACTCTTTTTCACTTCCCAGCTCTTTTCTATCATTCAACCAGCTTCAAAAGGTCTTTAAATCAATCTTCAGCATGTTGGGGGCTAATAAACACATTATTTGCTCCAACATATTTTGCTCACCCAAAGAAGGTGATGGTATGAGATATAATGTTCTAGTGATACTTTCAGATTCTTAGGGAAAAGACACCTTACACACATAAATGGATTGTTTATAACTCATTGTCGTAATTTGAAATTACAAAGGTCATTTTCCCTATAGGACAGTTTTATGTATTCACGCCCGTTTTGACACACAAGAATGACACACAGTAATGACTACTAATTTTTTTTTCACTTAACAAAGGAAAAAAGTTAAAATAAACATGAGGTTATTTCTTTCCCTTTTCCTGTTGACTAAAAGGGGTGCCATCTTTTTGTATTTTACTCCAGAAAATAAGAAGGTTCATCATAACCGAAATGACCCTATACCCGGACCATTATAACATGCATACATCTACCCCAAAACATCTCTGAAGTTCTGGTCAAATCTCCTTCTCTGACCAACATGCCTCATACAGATCTAAAGCTTAATGAATATATGCTATAGAATGAGGACCTTAAAAAAAAAAACAGTCTTTTCAATGGCATAAAGAGCACTATTTTCTTCACTAAGTCTTCAAAAAGTGACTTAAACTAGTCATTTTACATGTTGAAAATAAGAGAAATTCTCTGAAATCTCTACCTTTCAATTCCTTTAGAGGACTCCTGACCTTTGGGATTTTCATGCTCAAAGGCACTATGCTTTTATTACATAACTTCCCACAGAAGAATGAACCATGTGATATTCTCAATCCTGCTGACACAGTAAGTATTAAAAACTAAAACAAACAACAAAAAAAACCCAGTCCTATGATAAACTAACTTAATAATTCCTTTTCTCACCCATTCATTCAACATTATTAAGCAGCTATAATAGTGCCATGCTTTCAGTCATCTATCATTCAATAAGTACACAAAAAAATGGAAAATACAATATGGTAAGGAATATTTTTACGTCTCCATTTTTTGATCTATTTCTAGCATGCATTTCACATATAGTTTTATGCATTTAAATGACCTTACCTCTCTTACAGATAGCTGTGGTGGAAAGGAGACTGAAAATACCAAGTTGGTAAATTCAAACCCAGAGGCCTCAACTTTTTGGCACACCTAAAAAAGTATTACATAAAAGCATTTTTTAACATAAAACAGCATTTATATATATAAATTCTCAGGAATTGCTGAAAATTTTATTTATTTATTTATTTTTAATTTATTTATTTAATTTATTTATTTGACAGAGAGAGACACAGCAAGAAATGGAAAATAAGCAGAGGGAGTCAGAGAGGGAGAAGCAGGCTTCCCGCTGAGCAGGGAGCCCGATGCAGGCTCAATCCCAGGACCCTGGGATCGTGACCTGAGCTGAAGGCAGACACTTAATCAACTGAGCCACCCAGGCACCCCTGAAAATTTTACACTAATCTTCATAACATGGGTTTTTGGTCCAGGAGACGGCACTACACTTCTAAACTTTCACCTCTGGGAATTCTCATAAGCATCCCAAAAGCAAGTATTTGCTAACTATGACCCTGAAGACTGATATCACGAGATGCCAACACAGCCAGGACTCACTTGCAGAACAATCTGTTGAATGTCAAAATAATTTTCTCTTAGATCACCTCATAACTTAAGATTTTTAAACAAAATAAAGCCAAATTTGGCACTCTTGACAGCTGGAAACAAAAGGCAATCCCACATTCAATCATGTATCTTCCATAAAACTGTAACACTTGTCTTTTCAAGACACTAAAAGGTATGACTAAGAGCTTTACTCTAACTCCTTAGTTAGCTATGTTAAACAGCAGAGGGAAAAACCACTATATTTTTCTTCATTTGAGTAGTATTCATGACTGAAATACACGGACACCTACTTCATTAATTTTCAGTTATCTTGTTAATAGAAAAGTAATTTGAGAATAGTAGGCTTGTTTATTTTTTAATTAAGAAATGTTTTAATGATCCATTGATGTAATACAGGTTGAAATGAATGGTATTGTTACTTTAGATACAAGAATTCTAGGCTTTAAGACCAAAAATTTCTACATAATTGCACATATAATAAAAAACAGATTATTTACCTTTTTAATGAACTCTTTTTCACAGAATTCTTGAAGAATTCCTAGACATACATTGCACACATTTAAATTTGAGTTCTTGGAAGCAATGCTACCATCTTCAATAACGGAGACCCTTCCCTCTCCATTTTGACTCAGATTATCAATCCCATCAATCCCATCTTCTAGTTCTTGTAGTCGAATTTTCTTAGGAGGTGGGTTTGGAACTTCCAAAATTAATTCATCTTTTTCAGTTTCCAGAAATTTCTGTAGTTCATTGAGCAACTCCTGGAAAGTTAATTTGAAAAAAGTAATAACCCTTTTACAATACCCTTAAGGTTAAGATGAAAACAGGAGTGAAATTATGATATATTGCAGACTTATACAATGTTGATTTATATCAATTTTGGAGCAATCGATTAATTTTATTAGCCAGCATTGGCTTTCTGGGGAATTTAAAAGAGAATTACCTAACTCCCACAATATATGTGTGAATATTTTTCCAAAAGAGTTTCATATATTACTGAAGCTAAAGTCCTAAATCTGAGGCAGAAGATTCCATTAACAAATTTATTACAGGCATAACTCATTTTACTGTGCTTCAGTTTATTGTGCTTTGCCGATACTGCATCTTTATAAATTGAAGGTTTGCGGCAACCTTATATCAAGCAAGTCTATCAGCACCATTTTTCCAACAGCATTTGTTCACTTTGTGTCTGTGTGTCACATTTTAGTAATTCTCACAATATTTGAAACTTTTTCATTATTATACTTGTGATAGTGATCTGGGATTAGAGATCACGACTCACCGAAAGCTCAGATGATGGTTAGCACTTTTTAGCAATAAATTATTTTTTAATTAAGTATGTACATTTTTTAGACACAATGCTATTATACTATAGACTACAGTATATAAGTTTCATCTGTACTGGGAAACCAAAAAATTACTTTGACTCACTTCATCATGATATTCACTTTATTATGGTGGTCTGGAACCAAACCCACAATATCTATGAGGTATGCCTGTAATTTGGTTTGTAGTTACGTTGTGAGGGTCATTCACTTGCTAATTTTAGTAAAAATAAACTTCAATTCTAATCATCAATAAATAGAAATACAAACTGAATTTCCATCCTTGCTAGGTTATTTAATAATATCACAATTGAAAACATCTGTATAATATTAATATGAAATCTGAAAAGTTAGAGATTATACATCTATTAAGTAAAAATAATTTCAAGGCAAGTTACTAAACAAAGGTAAACAGTTGCTGGCAATCCTGAAAATTGGCACAGTAATTACAAAAACCATTTATATGCATTAATTAAAAAGAAGCCCTCTATTATATTCTGGTTTGCCTCATTTCTGTCACCCTTTGTACTAAAATGTTAAAAGTTGCATTCTTTTGAAACCATTCTCATATTTCAGACATTCCACCCATCTAAATACTCAGAGGACTTTTTCTGTTTTGTCTAGATTAGATAGATTTTATTATTCAGTTGTTGAATAGATATCCTTTTAAAATTTACTCAGATTACAATTTCCTGACTCTAAAGAAAAACATCTTTCACTCAAACAAATTTAATTCATTTTATTAGGACAGCAGCTCTATTTCATCTTTAACAGAAATACTAATACACACATACACATATAGGTATGTCATGACCCACACAAATATGTTTATTACCTAAGTTCTATAATCTCAGTATAACATAGTACATGTATATGTATGTGTACATACATAGTTAGATGACTACAAAGATCAAAATTTAGGTACATTTACAAAAAAACTTGTCTTCAAATATTTTCATGTGTTTTTACATAAAATGATACAAATAAAACTTGGCAATACTATGTCTCTTTATATAATATATATTTTAAATCTTAAAACATATTTTAAATATGAAAACAAATGCACAGAATAATAGAATCATATAATGTGTCTGAAAAATGTGTAAGGAGAATTACACAAAACCAGTATGATTACTTCATAGTCATAGTGTGTATAAATGAATTTACACACATATATATTAATCATCATAGCATATGTACCATTTTCAAAGTGTTTTCACATACTTTATTAGAAATTGTCCCTTAAAATCCCGTGAGGTAGATGTTATCATCATTCCCATTTAGAGAGGAGAAAACTGAAGCTGGAACTGGGATTCAAATCCATGTCTTCTAGCTCCAAATTCTAGGCTTTGGATTCAGACAGACAGTTCATATCCTAGCTTGCTCACTTAATAGCTGTGTAACTTTGGGCAGGTTGTTTAACCTCTCTGTGCCTCAGTTTCTTCATCTGAAAATAGAGACAATCATAGTATGTACTTACCTCATAGGTTATTATTAGGATTAGATGAGAGCTTGACATATAAAAATGTTATATGAATATTAGATATAATTATTTCCAAAATAATAGAAACAAATAATACACAGGAAAAATGATTGATACTGCTAACTCCCGAGCAATTTTTAAAAATTGTAAGAAACTGAGTGTGCATGTGTGTATACATAGTGTTTATATAGGTATATATTTACATATATATAATTACTATCTGTCTCTAAAAAGAATGGCACTATTGGAATCAAGTATACTTCACAAAATATGTTACATATTTTTTGTGAAAGTATTCTGTTAGTCAAAGCTCTCTGTATATTACCATAAATGTCAAAGATCCCTGTATATTATTTTTGCTATTATTAACAGAGGTAAATGATGATGATAAGCATTTACTTCTGGAGGGTTGAAAATACCTATTTGTAAGTACAAATGGTAATACAGAAAACAGAAAAAGAAAAAAGGCAGCCAAATCCCCAATGCTTCCACTTAACAGAAGATCTCAGGACTGTCATCCTCCCTTGTCACATCTTACTACTATCTGGTTAGAAGTACTATTTGTGGTACCTGTGTTCTCTTCAGGAGAGGTATATACAAACATTAAATACACCAGGGATGTGCTCCACAAAGATCCCACTACATTAAATGCTAGATGTAATCACTTAAGAAGGAACTTACAGTTTCATGGTACTAAAAGGAAATTCCAAATTTACCATTATCAGTAATTATTTTATTAGTTTTTTTTTAATTTAATGAAGAGTTATGGACAGATACTTGCCCTCAAATGTACAGGTATTCATTTTAGAATAGAGAAACTTTCTTTAGAAACAAAATGAAAGTACCTTGTAGGGAAGTTTGTAAGGTGCATGAAAATCCACACCACAGAATCTGTAAACACATCTTGGACAGGTACCAGTACTGAGCAACAACTGGGCCACATGCTTGTTTTCCTCAGTCAATGGAAACATATTGAATAATTATAACTAGAAAGAAAGAAAAAGTAAAAGTAATGAACATCTTTTGTGTTTTACTTTCACAGAGAAATATGTCATCACCTTTAGGGATAAAAACGAACTTTTATTTAAAAACATTATTTTGTACTCTCCAATAATATCCTTTTCATTATATGCATATTGAAACATAAACTTGAAGGACATTTATTAGATGGGCCAGGTAAAAGTTTCTAATTATCAAGGAATTTAGTGTAGCATTCTGGATTATGATAAAATATATCAATAAAAATAAATAAAAATAAAAATAATCAAGAATGGTTGTCCCTGATGAGGGTAATAAAAACAAAGAATACAGAGTGATGTTTTGTTATTTTGTACCATTCAGTGTTGTTTGAGAACACAAGTAGTCAATTCAATAAACTTTTCCTATTAGAAATTAAAAATGAGTTTGCCAGGAAAAAATAATCAGATCAGTCTATATAATTTACTCGCCTCAATGATAGTTAAGCAGTCAAGTATTTAAAATAAATTGATCAGTAGATCTAAAAACATCGATTATATTTTGGCAAAATAACTAAATGACAACAAACTATTAGCAAAATGAGAAGAATCTGCTCCTTTCATGCACAAGTAAAACCTCCCCCCACCAAAAAACCCCCACAAATTAAATGCAAAATAATTTAGAGTAATTATCATCTAAAACAAGTTGTTACTTTTCACAATTTGAATAAACGCCCTTAAAAACAAATTAGAGAATGGAGTAAAATCTGATATAACTCTCTTGTTGCCAGGAAGGAGGTGTATGAAAATTAAATTACCTAATTATTGTTTTGCAAAAACAGATCTTCTGATTAATAAATCAGCTCACATTACTTTAAAATGAGGAACTAGCAATATTTTATAAAATAATGATTGCATGGCAATGTTGTGGTATGGTGGTCATACAGATAAAAAACAGTGGTGCTTTTTAATTCATGCAGTTTCATAATTCAAATGAACTTGCTTAAAATTTGTGGGAGGGTAGAGCTCTTACCAGCTCCTTACTGTGAAGATGTGATTCTTAGAATTAGTTTGTGCTTTCCAACCCTTTAAAACCCAGTCCTTACTTGCAAATTTCTAAATGTTTGTGGCCACTTATTGAGAGTATATCCTTGACACAAAATAATGAGGAAGGCAAGTATATACTTCCACAAAACCCTTCACCATAGAAATCAGTTTAGCAGCTAGGACTACAAAAGGCAGATTGCCTCCTGCTGAGTTTCAATTCAGGTAAATACAGTATGGAAGCTGGCAGACAGGAAGGGAAAGAAGAAAATAAGACTTCGCCTGGATACACCAGTGAGAACTTTGAGACACAGGATTAAAGCTCTGATTTAGGGTAGCCTAAGTAAATTTGGGCTCAAGGGCATTTTCACGAAAGGACACAGAATTATGTGCAGAACACCTTGTATATAGAGAAGCTCTGTGTGGTCATCATTATATACAGATGATCTGAATTCCTTCTGTCAGGCCATTTAATCTGCTAGTTTGATTCTGAGAAAGGGTTGGGATTCACTGAAGGGCTGATTCTCAGCACTTAAGGTATATCCCTGACTGCAATCCCCTCCCAGAGAAACTATTTCTGTCTCACTCTTTATCTTTTCTCCACCTTTCATTACTTAAGACCAAAGATTTCATTTAATTCAGAATTAACCTTTAACTCAGAAAGAGAAACAAACCCTCTGGGTAGATAAGTGCATGAGTAAGTTCTTGAAAGAACACTTTGTATCAAAGCTTTCCCTGGGGATGAAGTTAAATACTATTATTAACATGGATGCTTTCTAAGGATAAGATCCCTCCATTTGCGACATGGATGGACTGAACAGGTTATTATTCTAAATGAAATAAGTCAGACTGAGAAAGACGAATACCATATGATTTCACCCATAAGTGGAATTTAAAAAACGAAGAAACTGATGGTTGCCAGAGGGAAGAGGAGTGAGAAATACAGTTCCAATTATGGAATAAGTTACCAGAATAAAAGGCAATGATTCATAATAGGTTATAGGGTGGTAACAGATGGTAGCTATATTTGTGGTGAGCACAGAATATCATATACAGAAGTTGAATCACCATGTTTTACACCTGAAACTAATGTAACATTGTGTGTCAAGTACACTTAAATTAAAAAAAATCTTTTTAATTGAAGAAAATGGATGCATTCTTTCCTTTGGTTCAAAGACTGAATGTTTACTTCTCCAAGAGGTACACTAAGAATAAAGGTATCACGCAAAGTCAATAAATGACACATTACAATCTCTTGGCTCTGAGCAGTTCCCAAACCTGTTGAGAATTAGGAAACCTCCTGTCCTGAGTAATTTGAAGAGGTCTTAAAAAAACAAAAAACCCTCTTCAGTGTGTATGTGTCAGTAACGGAATGGTCTTCCAAACCCTCAAGTTCATTTTCATTTAGCAACAATCAAGCGACTTCTCAAACAAGTTAACATTTAAAGGAGGAAATGCGTTCTGTCTCAAATTTGGTTGTTTCATCGACGTACAGCACTGAAAGGATTTCAGAAGTCATCAGAAATCAGTTGTTCCATATGAGGTTTATTATCCTTGAAAGCTAAGCCCTGAGAAATGCATCCCATACTGTAAGGTTTTCATTGTCGGTTGCCTTCGTTAAGATTTTCATTTAAGTGTTTTACATAAAGAATTGGAACTAGTCATTGCAACAGAATCTCTTCCCATGTGTCAGGATCTTTACAGGGTTTGAGTCCCTTCTCCACGAACCAATGATAACTGGAGGAGACGATGGACTTTCTTTTCACCTCTTGGACTTACAGAAACCATTCGTTGCAAATAGAGAAGTAGCGGGGCATGTGAAAAACACCAAAATGGCCAGACTAAATCTCACATCCCGTGATCTTTCAACACTCATTTCCATACAGCCGTGTGTCATTGTCTCACGGGGGTGGGGAAATGTGCGGATTTTTCAAAGGCGACCCTCACAACTTTATTGTGCTACCGTTATACTCAATTGTAGAATCTACTGTAGACTCAAATTCAACCAAGGCCTAACCTCCAGTCTTTGGCCAAGAAAGCCCTTCCCCTCCTTCAGTCAGGTCCAAGAAACTTCCCGCTCACCCCTCCTTGCTAACAAGGCCGCTCCAGCAGGAAGGAAACTATCCCCTCCATCCACACCTCTCTTGCGCCCAAGTCGTACCCCCACCCCTTAGACCTTCCTGCCTCACCTTCCACCGCGACGCCGGAGCCTGAGGTTTAACCCCTTCTAGCCCCGCAGAGGGAACAGGGAAGACTAAAGACAACGCACCTACTGCGTGTAGCAATTCTGTTCCCCGAGGAAACGAAAGCTTTAGAACGAAAGTACCAGGCCCTCTCGCAAGGGCTGAGTGAACGCTCTCCTCTTCTTGTTTGTGGAGAAACCAGAAAAACTGCCTGTCGCGCCGCCACAACCCCTCATCCCACCGCCACCCACGGTGGGGTAGGAGTGCGTGGGACTTAACTCCGGGCCAGAGCCAGACTAGTCCCAGAGAGGCCTCCGTGGGACTCCGACGTCTAGGGCGTCGTAGCCGCTGCCAGAAATATCGATGAGCCCTTACCCTCAGGTTTAGAATGGAAATTCTTGCTAAGGCAAATAAAAAGAGAGTATTCCCCACCCGGGTGGATTAGCGTCATCCTCCTTTCCTCAGGTCCCAGCTGGCAAAGTACCACAACCGACAGCCTAACTGCAGGGGTGGGCGGGGTGGAGGACTCGGTGTTCTGCCCATTCTGCCTGGCGCGTGAGGCGCTAGTGTACCCGGGCCTGGGGAGTCCCAGCGCGGACCAAGAGCCGAGCGGAGGCGGAGGAGATGGCTTCCCAGCCGCCTCCTCCCCCGAAACCCTGGGAGACCCGCCGAATTCCTGGGGCCGGGCCAGGACCAGGACCTGGACCCACTTTCCAGTGAGTGTGGGATTCTTCTGGCCGCGGGTTTGGTGGGCCGGAGTGGGGACTTGGCGGGAGACGGTTGAGGCCGTTGTTGCGCTGAGGTGTCCCCTCCCCCTCTCACCAGCCCTCAACGTTGAGGGGTTCAAGGTAGGAAAAGGACGCCAGTGTGGGGGATTTCTATGTCAGACAGCTGTTTCTGACTCGACGGCTCTCGGTACGGATACTCTCCAGGGAGCCCCTGGGCCCCTCACTGGGTCCCGGTGCTTGGAAGAAAGGGGGCGGCTTCCTGCTCCTTTCTGTTAGCGGAACACCGTGACAGAACTGCTTGACCCTCTTAAAAGAGTTAGACTTTCGGTCTTTCGCAGATGAGAGTAGCTGGCATTTGCCCAGCCCCGGCTGGACAGGGAGCAAAGTCTCCCCAAAGCTTTTAACAACCTCTCGAGAAATTGGTGAAAGCACAAAAGGTCGCTTTTACACAACTGGAAACCAAGCCTATACACTTTGCGTTGTTTTTCAGCATAACTCATCAATGTTTTGGATAAGGATTTGGAGAAGCAACTTTCAAGCGGGAGTTCTAAATCCAAGGCCAATGGATGGCCTTTGTGTGCAAAATAGCGTGTCACTTTTCTAAGGCCTGTGTGGTTTTTTATTTGTTTTTAATGAGTGTTTAATGGGAAAAAGGCTAAAATACAATGAAAGAAGAGTTTCACAGCCTTGTGTGTTTCATGTTGGGTGGATCTGGACATGTAAATTTAGATGATGAGATTGAATGGCAGATCACCTACCATAGTAGGTTTACCTAACATATAAAAGTCCCCGGTATACTGGAATGTGTTTCTGCTATGTTCTAAAATCTTGTAATCCTTATTTAAATGTCAAGATGCTTGAACACATTAGCAACTTAATTTAATAATGATAGATACATAACAAGTAATAAGCTTTAATTATACTATTAAGCTGGGGGACACTTCCTGCTACCTTTTTTACGAGTGATTTGACTTTTTAAAAAAAAATTTGACAGCTATTTGGAAGACAGGTTTTATACTCTGGCATCTTTTTAAAGTTCTGTTTATGTAAAAGTAACCATTTTCCCACTTTTCTTCATTGTGAATTTTAAACACGTAGAGACTGGTTGAGTGTAAGACAATGAATGTTTGTGTATTCACACTTAACTTTAAGAAAATTTTTCCAGGGGCCCCTCAGTGGCTCAGTCAGTTAAGCGTCTGCCTTGGGCTCGAGTCATGATCCCAGAGTTCAGGGATCCAGCCGCATTGGGCTCCCTGCTCAGCGGGGAGTCTGCTTCTCCCTCTGCCCTTCGCCCCACTGGTGCTCTCTCTCCCTCTGCTCTCTCTCAGAGAGAGAGAAACAGAATCTTTAAAAAAAGAAAAAAAAAAAAAGAAAAAAATTTTCCAAATTTGCCTCAGATTTTTTTTCAGATTTTTTTAAAAATAAAAATTACAGAAACAGTTAAGCCTCCCATTCTTTCCTGCTATAACTACTGTCCCTATTTGGTGTTTAGTGTACCCAATTATGTTTTTATACTTTATTTTATATCTTAGTACTTAGGTTTGTGTGTTATATATATGTCTGTATATATAGTGTTTAGTGTGTTTTTAGATTTTATATAAATATGTTCAAACTATGTATCATTTTGCAAAATGTTTTTCCATTACATATTATTGATTTTGAGGTTTATCTTGTTCATACCTATAGCTGTAGTTCATTTTATTTGCTGTATGATATTCTATTGTATAAAAAACTATTTTGTTGGGGCGCCTGGGTGGCTCAGATGGTTAAGCGTCTGCCTTTCGGCTCAGGTCATGATTCCAGGGTCCTGGTGATAGAGCCCCGCATCGCATCACGCTCCTTGCTCAGCGGGGAGTCTTCTCCCACTCCCTCTGCTTCTCCTCCTGCTCATGCTCTCTCTCTGTATCTCTGTGTCTCGAATGAATAAAAAAAAAAAAACCTTTTTTTTTTTAAACTTTTCTGTTGTAGGTATTAAAGTATTAATTATGAATTAAAAACTGCTGCAGTGACCATTCTCTTTTTTTTTTTTAAAGATTATTTATTTGAGAGAGAGAGAGAGACAGAGCAGCGGCAGCAGGGGAGAGGAAGGGAAGGAGAGGGAGAAGCAGACTTCCGGCAGAGCAGGGAGCCCAATTCTGGGCCTGATCCCAGGACCTCAGGATCATGACCTGAGCCACCCAGGCACCCCTGCAGTGACCGTTCTTGTGCCTTTCTCCTTATCCACATTTCCAGGGGGTTTTCTTTTCTTTCTTTTTTTTTAAGATTTTATTTATTTATTTGACAGAGAGAGACCCAGTGAAAGAGGGAACACAAGCAGGGGGAGTGGGAGAGGGAGAAGCAGGCTCTCCGCTGAGCGGGGAGCCCAACGTGGGGCTCTATCCCAGGACCCTGGGACTATGACCTGAGCCCAAGGCAGTCGCTTAACGACTGAGCCACCTAGGCGCCCCTCCAGTGGGTTTTCTAATAATGTGTTGTTGGAAGTGGAATTGCTTGGTGGTGGGTATGCTTAGCTTCAAGTACTAACTATTACCAAGTTGCTCCCCAAAGTGGTTTTATACCAGTTTTTTACATTTTCACTGGCAAGGTGTTCTGTTTCTCTACATTCTTTCTAACACTTGATGATGTTATTTTTTAGTTCTGAATTTGCCAATCTAATGGATGTGAAATGATATTTAATTTAAATTTGCACTTCTCTGGTTAGTAATAAGATGGAGCATCTTTTTGAATGTTAAATTAGCCATTTGAGTGTTTTCTGTTGATATCTTTTGCTCACTTTTTTATTGACTTTAGGTTTGCTTATTAACTTGTTAAAAGAGTCCTTTATTCATACTAATTCTATTTTTGTTTGTATGTTTTCAATTTCTTTCAGTCTGTGGCTTGTCTTCTTTATTTATATTCATGTTCATTTTTGTTGTACAGATACTTTTAATTTAAATATAGCCAAAATTTTCATATTTTATTGTTTTTTTTATGTCTTGGTTAAGAAACCCTTTCTGCCTCAGATCAAGAAAATTTTTCTCTCATTTTTTTAAATGTTCTGCATTTCACATTCATACATGTAATCCACCTGGAACTGACTCTCTTGTTCAAAAGCAATGCAAAATAGAGAATATATATTTTCCCCCCATGGGGATAAGTGTCCCAGTACCATTAATTTATCTATTCTGTACTAGTTTATAATGCTATCTACATCCTGTTACGTTTTCCTAAATGTGTGGTTCTGTTTGGAGGACTTTCCCATATGTTCTGTTGGTCTTTCTTTCTTATGCTAGCACCACTCTTGTCTTTTTTTTTTTTTAAGATTTTATTTATTTATTCATGAGAGACAGAGAGAGAGAGAGAGAGGCAGAGAGAGAGAAAGGCAGAGGGAGAAGCAGGCTCCCAAGGAGCAGGGAGCCCTATGCGGGACTCGATCCCAGGACTCCAGGATCATGACCTGAGCCAAAGGCAGACGCTTAACCATCTGAGCCACCCAGGAGCCCTCTTGTCTTTTTTTTTTTTAAGATTGTATTTATTTATTTTAAAGAAAACAAGTAGGAAGAGGGGCAGAAGGGGAAGGAGAAAATCTCAAGCAGAATCCCTGCTGAGGGACCCCTGCTTACAACCCTGAGATCATGACCTGAGCTGAAATCAAAGAGTTGGACTTGACCGACTGAGCCACCTAGGCACCCCCACACTTTTCTTTTTTTTTAAGATTTTATTTATTCATTTGACAGAGACACAGCGAGATAGGGAACACAAGCAGAGGGAGTGGGAGAGGGAGAAGCAGGCCTCCCGCCAAGCAGGGAGCCAGACACGGGGCTCCATTCCAGGACCGAGATCACGACCTCAGCTGAAGGCAGACGCCCAACGACTGAGCCACCCAGGCACCCCCCCACACTATCTTTTTAATAAGTTTTGGTACCTGGTATGTCAACAGCCTCCACACATTGCTGTTCTTCAGAATTGCCTTTGTTATATTTACCCTTTATAAAAAAAACTGGGATTTTTATTGGAACTTTATGAGAATTTGGACCTTTTTTTGCCTTAAATAATGTTTTATAACTATCTCCATGAGGTACTTTTCCATCTTTTATATCTAGCCTAAGTTAGACTTAATTTGTTCTGGTGGTTTAGTTGAAATTTCTCTTGTGTTCCGTGCTGACAGTCCTGTCATTTACAAATAAGCCAGCATAGATAACCAACATCCTTGTATTGCTCCTGACTTTCATCGGAATGCTTCTCAAATCTCACTATGAAGTATGATGTTTGCTTTTCTGTTTTTAATAGCTTTCCTTTTGAACTTCTATCTCCTTACCTTGCTCAGATTTTTATTATGAAGGAGTATAAATTTTATGAATGACTTTTATGCATTTACTGAGATAATTAATTTGAAAATGTGGTTTATTTCATCAGTTAACTTTCTAATGTTGAATCATGAGTAAATTTCTGGGTGAACTGCTTAATTGTGATTATTTTGTAAAATATAATGTTGAATTCTGTTCTAATATTTTAAGACCTTTGCATATATATTTTAGGTGAAATTAGCCTGTAATTTTCTTTCTTTGTACTATACTTTTTTGGCTTTATATCCAGGTTGTATAACTACAGAAATTTTTCTGTTGAGTCTAATTTTCATTCCTCTATAGGTAGAGTATTTTTTTCTTAGCAGCCTTTAAGATTTTACCTGATACCTTGGTCCCCTGCAACTTTATTATGCTCTATTCAGGTATGAATATACAGACACGTATATTTTTTCCTCCTGCTCAGTAGCTACAGTGTTCACGCTCAGTACCTATAATGTTCACTCTAAGGATTCAATCTTTCTTTAATTCAGGAAAATTTTCACTAATTATATCTTTATTGTTTAAACACTGTTCTTTCCCATCTCTTCTTCTGGGAGTCCTATTAAACATTGTATCAGGAATAGTTTCTGCTACAAGTAACAATGTATGACTTACTCCACCTTGGACTATAAAGACATTCCTTGTTAACAGGAAGTCTAGAGAGTCTAAGGATCTGCTAACTCAACATTGTCTTTAAGAGACCGACATTTTTCCTGGCTTCCTTTTTTTTTTTCCCCTGGCTTTTTATTTTCTGTAAGCTTTCCGAGAGTTTGGGCCATTTCTGTTGTATTCTTGCTTCTTTGAAAGAAATCTCTTCTTTCCTCTGGTGGCTTTAAAGATTTTTCTCTTTGTTTTTGG